GGGGGGCTAGAGGGGGCCCCGCTAGTTGAAGCACAACTCCGTTACCCAACAACTACTTCATTGGCTTCCTCAGACTGCTCAGACTTCCGAGCGGAGACAGCTTCTCGGGGGCGGCGGGGGCGGGCGCCGGCGGCGGGCCACAATGGCCACCGCGACCACGAGGAGGGCGGCGGCGGCAGCGTCGCGCCAGAGAGAGCCGCCCCCGCCGCCCCCCGCCCCCGTCTCGCGGAGACGCGATGCGACGGGGGTCCGGTTCCCGCAAAAGTTTCTGGTGTCTTACGGTGCTTTGCAGTCAAAAGGACTCTGGTTTTGTGTTACAAAGTGTGGCCTCTGAGATATGAGGACGTCAGTGCCCTCTCCCCCTCTCTCTCTCTCTCTCTCTCTCTCCCACCCCCTCGGGGCCGTTCGCCCCTCCCAAACAACTTCCCGCTCTGCTCTTCGGTAAACTAGTTGAGAGAGGGGGTGGTCCTCGCCAAGTCTCTTTTCGCTTGCAAATGAGCAGCACTGAGGACCCCCCACCCCTTCAGTCACCCACCCCTACCCCCTGCGCGCGTCGGGCTGCTGCTGCTGCTGCGGCGGCGGCGGCCGTTCAAGGGCCCCGGCAGCCTCATCGTCTTCACCTTCACCGGCTTTGACGTATTCAAGGGCCTGGAGCCTTCCAGACTGGAGGAGCGGAGGCCCGGCCGGCCCGCCAGGCCCGTCGCCCCCAGCCCACCACTCCAGGCCGCGCCCTGGCCCTGCCAGGCCTTTGTGGCGCCCACCTTCACCTTCAGCCTGTAAAGCGCAGCTGCTGGGCCTGCTCCGGGCGCCTCGCTAGAAGTTCACACATTGCACAAGCACAGAAGATCTTTCCCCAAAATCGTAATTGAAAGAAGAAACACGATTCAATAGATATGGTCCTACTTATCTACTGCGCGCATGTTGCATATCACAAAGAAAATTTAACGGAAAAAAATGGCATATCTGCTACAAATTAAAAAGAATTGTGTTCGTTAAATTTTGGAATAATGTGCGTGGGCGTTCGAACAAGGCGGGACCGTGAATAGATCTCCGCACCAGTGACACACAAAGGCGGGCACGTCGCGCGGTGCGCATGGCATTCTCACCCACGCCAGGCGCCGCCACGCCACGCTGCGCCCCGCCCCCGCAACGCGCGCCTTGCTATCAAAGATTCAGTCACAAAGGAGGAGGTGGCAAGCACAGGGGGGCCGTGAGTGGGGCGGGGCAGGGTGGTGCGGGGCGGGCCGGGGCGGGGCACCAGGCGGGGCGGGCATTCCTCCTGAAGCACGTAGCAGCGCGCCCCGCCACGCCGCGCCACGAAAGAGAACAATATCCAGAGGCAATACCAGTAGGAACAGAGGGGGAGGGGGGGAGCTTATAAGCCCTATACGTGTGCACCGCGCGCCGGCACTTCCGTTGAAACTACTTCCGCCTCAGACGCGCGCGCGCAGGCGGGCGCCAAAATTCTTCCGAATCGAGACATAGAAGAAACAACAATAAAAACAATAAACAATAAAATAAAAAATATGATGTACATCAGAGTAAAACGACACAATCGTGTTATGAAGCGACCGTCAAAGACATTACTGATTTACGGAGAAGAATAGTGT